TCACACACACACTGCCTCCAAAACACACCTGCCCCCAAAACCCCCACACTCCCTAAACCACACACACTGCCTACACCACTGCCACACACACACTGCCCCCACACACACAGCCTCCACACACACAATCCCACACACACTGCCCCACACACCCCTGCCTAAACACCACACTGCCTCACACACCACTGCCTCAAACACACTGCCCCACACACACACTGCCACACAACAACCCCTCACACACACCCCCCCTCCCTCACACACACTGCCCCACACACACATTCCCACCCCCCAACACACTCCCTCAACACCCCCCTGCCCACACACCCACTGCCCCCACACACATGTCACACCCCACACTGCCTCACACACACACTGCCTCACACACACTGCTCACACCCCCCACACCCTGCCTCAAACACACTGCCTCACACACACTGCCTCACACACCCCCTCCCTCACACACACTGCCTCACACACCATGCCTACAACACACTGCCTCACAACACTGCTCAACCACACTCCCTCAAAACCCAACACTGCCTACACACACACTGCCTCACACACACACGCCTCAACACACTCCTCACCACACACTGCCCACACACACTGCCCACACACACACTGCCTCACACACCATGCCTCACACACACACCTGCCTCAACACACACTGCCTCCACACACACACCCCCTCACACCCCACACTCCTCACACCCCCACACGTCACACCACTGCCTCAACACACACACTGCCTCACACAACATCCCTCACACACCCCCTGCCTCACACACACACACTGCCCACCCCACACATGCCTCACAACCACACTGCCTCCCACACAACTGCCTCACACACACACTGCCTACACACACACACGCCTCACACACCCCGCCTCACACACACTGCCCCACAAAAACCCAGGGCCTCACCCCCACACTGCTCACAACACACTGCCTCACACACATGCCTCCACACACACCCCTGCCTCACACACACCCCTGCTCACACACACACTGCCTCACACCAAAACCCCTTGCCCCCCACACCCTCCAACACACTGCCCTCACACACACTGCCCACAACAACACTCCCTCACACAACATTTTCCAAAAAACCTCCCACACTGCCTCACACACACACTGCCTCACCAACTGCCTCACACACCCCCTGCCCACACACACCTCCCTAACACACACACTCCCTCAAACCCCCACACTGCTCCACACACCTGCCTCACACACCTGCCTCACACACACCCTCCTCACACACACTGCCCACACACAAACTGCCTCCACACACATGCCTCACACACATGCCCCCCACACCCCCCACATTTGCCTCACCAACACTGCTACACACACACTGCCTCAAAAACACCCCCCAAACCCACTTCACACACAACTGCTAACACACACATGCCTCCCACACACACTGCCTCACACACACACTGTTCCCCCTCCCAAACCACACTGCCTCACACAACACTGCCCTCACACACACACTCCCTCACAACCACACTGCCTACACACACACATGCCTCACAACACATGCCCCCCCCCCTCCCACACACCCCTGCCCCCCAACCCCACCTCCCCTCACCAAACACTGCCTCACCAAAACCAACTGCCTCACCACAACACTGCCTCACACACCACTGCCTCACACAAAACATGCCTCACACAACACACTGCCTCACACCCCAACACTGCTCACAACACACACTGCCTCCACACACACACTGCCTCCCCCCCCCACACACACACTCCCTCACACACCCATGCCTCCCCAAACACACCTGCCTCACACACACACTGTTCACACACACATGCCTCCCAACCTGCCTCACAACACACATCCCTAAAACTGCCTCACACACCTGCCTGCCCAAACACACTGCCTGACCACCCCAATCCCTGCAACACACTGCCAAAGGAGGGTTTTTTTCTAGTATTAAAATCTCAGCTCATTAGAGATAATCTTTGCATTGTTTGAGAAGCGAATTAAGTATTTTGTTGAGTTGGTGGGACCGTAGGAAGTGTGGCTGCCTTGAGGTAAGACGCCTTCAAGGTCACGATGATGCCTTGTTCACTGTCTTCAAGGTCAGGATGATGCCTTGTTCACTGTCTTCAAGGTCACGATGATGCCTTGTTCACTGTCTTCAAGGTCAGGATGATGCCTTGTTCACTGTCTTCAAGGTCACGATGATGCCTTGTTCACTGTCTTCAGGGTCACGATGATGCCTTGTTCACTGTCTTCAAGGTCAGGATGATGCCTTGTTCACTGCCTTCAAGGTCACGATGATGCCTTTTTCCCTTTGTCTTCAAGGTCAGGATGATGCCTTGTTCACTGTCTTCAAGGTCAGGATGATGCCTTGTTCACTGTCTTCAAGGTCACGATGATGCCTTGTTCACTGTCTTCAAGGTCAGGATGATGCCTTGTTCACTTTTCTTCAAGGTCGGGGATGATCCCTTGTTCACTGTCTTCAAGGTCACGATGATGCCTTGTTCACTGTCTTAAAGGGTTCAGGATTGATGCCTTGTTCACTGCCTTCAAGGTCACGATGATGCCTTGTTCACTGTCTTAAAAGGTCAGGATGATGCCTTGTTCACTGTCTTAAAGGTCGGGATGATGCCTTGTTCACTGTCTTCAAGGTCACGATGATGCCTTGTTCACTGTCTTCAAGGTCAGGATGATGCCTTGTTCACTGTCTTCAAGGTCAGGATGATGCCTTGTTCACTGCCTTCAAGGTCAGGATGATGTCTTGTTCACTGTCTTCAAGGTCAGGATGATGTCTTGTTCACTGTCTTCAAGGTAGGATGATGCCCTTGTTCACTTCTTCAAGGTCAGGATGATGTCTTGTTCACTGTCTTCAAGGTCAGGATGATGTCTTGTTCACTGTCTTCAAGGTCACGATGATGCCTTGTTCACTGTCTTCAAGGTCAGGATGATGCCTTGTTCACTGTCTTCAAGGTCAGGATGATGCCTTGTTCACTGTCTTCAAGGTCAGGATGATGCCTTGTTCACTGTCTTCAAGGTCAGGATGATGCCTTGTTCACTGTCTTCAAGGTCAGGATGATGCCTTGTTCACTGTCTTCAAGGTCAGGTGATGCCTTGTTCACTGTCTTCAAGGTCAGGATGATGCCTTTTTCCCACTGTCTTAAAGGGTTTCAGGATGATGCCTTGTTCACTGTCTTCAAGGTCAGGATGATGTCTTGTTCACTGTCTTCAAGGTCAGGATGATGCCTTGTTCACTGTCTTCAAGGTCAGGATGATGTCTTGTTCACTGTTTCTCAAGGTCAGGATGATGTCTTGTTCACTGTCTTCAAGGTCAGGATGATGTCTTGTTCACTGTCTTCAAGGTCACGATGATGCCTTGTTCACTGTCTTCAAGGTCAGGATGATGCCTTGTTCACTGTCTTAAGGTCAGGATGATCCCTTGTTCATTTGTCTTCAAGGTCAGGTTGATGCCTTGTTCACTGTCTTCAAGGTCAGGATGATGCCTTTTCACTGTCTTAAAGGGTCAGGATGATGCCTTGTTCACTGTCTTCAAGGTCAGGTGATGCCTTGTTCACTGTCTTCAAGGTCAGGATGATGCCTTGTTCACTGTCTTCAAGGTCAGGATGATGCCTTGTTCACTGTCTTCAAGGTCAGGATGATGTCTTGTTCACTGTCTTCAAGGTCAGGATGATGCCTTGTTCACTGTCTTCAAGGTCAGGATGATGCCTTGTTCACTGTCTTCAAGGTCAGGATGATGTCTTGTTCACTGTCTTCAAGGTCAGGATAATGTCTTGTTAAACTGTCTTCAAGGTCAGGATGATGTCTTGTTCACTGTCTTCAAGGTCAGGATGATGTCTTGTTCACTGTCTTCAAGGTCAGGATGATGTCTTGTTCACTGTCTTCAAGGTCAGGATGATGCCTTGTTCACTGTCTTCAAGGTCAGGATGATGCCTTGTTCACTGTCTTTAAAGGGTCAGGATGATCCCTTTTGTTCACTGTCTTCAAGGTCAGGATGATGTCTTGTTCACTGTCTTCAAGGCCAAGATGATGTCTTGTTCACTGTCTTCAAGGCCAAGATGATGTCTTGTTCACTGTCTTCAAGGTCAGGATGATGTCTTGTTCACTGTCTTCAAGGTCAGGATGATGTCTTGTTCACTGTCTTCAAGGCCAAGATGATGTCTTGTTCACTGTCTTCAAGGTCGGGAAATGATGTCTTGTTCACTGTCTTCAAGGCCAAGATGATGTCTTGTTCACTGTCTTCAAGGTCAGGATGATGTCTTGTTCACTGTCTTCAAGGCCACGATGATGCCTTGTTCACTGTCTTCAAGGTCAGGATGATGTCTTGTTCACTGTCTTCAAGGCCAAGATGATGTCTTGTTCACTGTCTTCAAGGCCAAGATGATGTCTTGTTCACTGTCTTCAAGGCCAAGATGATGTCTTGTTCACTGTCTTCAGGCCAAGATGATGTCTTGTTCACTGTTTCAAGGCCAAGATGATGTCTTGTTCACTGTCTTTAAAGGGTCAGGTGATGTCTTGTTCACTGTCTTCAAGGCCAAGATGATGTCTTGTTCACTGTCTTCAAGGCCAAGATGATGTCTTGTTCACTGTCTTCAAGGTCAGGATGATGTCTTGTTCACTGTCTTCAAGGCCAAGATGATGTCTTGTTCACTGTCTTAAAGTCAGGATGATGTCTTGTTCACTGTCTTCAAGGTCAGGATGATGTCTTGTTCACTGCTTCAAGGCCAAGAGGGATGTCTTGTTCATGTCTTCAAGGCCCAAAGATGATGTCTTGTTCACTGTCTTCAAGGCCAAGATGATGTCTTGTTCACTGTCTTCAAGGCCAAGATGATGTCTTGTTCACTGTCTTCAAGGTCAGGATGATGTCTTGTTCACTGTCTTCAAGGCCAAGATGTTTATTACCACCATCAAGGATGTGTCTTCAGTGTTTTGAAGATCAGGAAGATGTTTACTACCATCCTCAGTGATGTGTCGTGATCCTAAACACAGTCATGTACAAGGCGCCATCTACCTCATCGCTGAGAACATTCCGCTCACAGTCACCAGGTCTCTGGTTCGATTTACTGAAACTGAGAAAGTTGTCGACCTTTGCTGCTTCTGTCCACCTGGCAGACTGTTGCAGCCTGATGAAAAAAGCTGGAAAACTTCAGCACCTGCTGGAAGAAACTCCAGCACTTGCTGAAAGAAACTCCAGCACCTGCTGGAAGAAACTCCAGCACCTGCTGGAAGAAACTCCAGCACTGCTGGAAGAAACTGCAGCACATGCTGGAAGAAACTCCAGCACCTGCTGGAAGAAACTCCAGCACTGCTGGAAGAAACTGCAGCACCTGCTGGAAGAAACTCCAGCACCTGCTGGAAGGTGTTCGTATTGATAAAGAGGTTAATTAAAGATGTGGCACCAGGAGCTAGAACCCATCCTGCGTAAACTCTAATAACAATAAATAAGTAATTACGCGCAATCCCTCTCATGCAAGCACTTTCACGCACGGACACTCACGCACACACACTCACGCACGGACACTCACGCACAGACACTCACGCACAAACACTCACGCACACACATGAAAGACAATGGGAGGTGATAGTTCCAGCATGGACTGTGGGAGAGTTACAAGAAGCTGTGACTGTCTCCCAGGCTAAACTACAGTAAGTCAGGGAACACGGGACAACAACCCGAGATCAGGAAGCTAGTAAATGTAGTCACGATCTTACCTTTAATTTACCTGTGGTTGCTTCCAGTGGTCGCTACCCCCGCGGCTCCCTCCTGGTTACCGGCTTGATCGACCAGGCTGCTGGTGGCCTCCGCATGCAGTCCAACATATGCACCACAGCCTGGTTGGTCAGAAACTGGCTTGAGGAACTCTAAATTCCTTTTGAAGATAGCGCCAGGGGTTTGCTGGTAATCTTTATACATATAGGGAGGGGTGTTGAAGAGTCGTGGTACCTTAACATTTATTGAATTCTCTCAGTGCACCCATCGCTCCTCTGCTTTTTATTAGTGTCTTACACCGTCTATAAGCCTCTTATGTAATAATTTCGGTGTGCAGGTTTGGTACCAGTCCCTCCAGTATCTTCCAAGTGTAGATTATGATACATTTTCTTACCTACGTTTTAAGGAGTACAGGTCGATAAATTTCAAGCAATGTACTCGGCTTTGTAGGTTCTGGAAACATTCTCCAGTTGTGTCTGACTTGAAGGAGACCTTTAGTATAGAACAATATTCCAGCTTTGAGAGAACCTGTGGCTTGGCAGGTTTTGTGTTGAAAATTCTAGTTATCCAAACTATCATTTTACCCTGAAGATGTCATGATAACTTTGTTGTGATCCTTAAAAGTGACATTCCTGACGTTGTTATTTCCAAGTCTCTCACATTAAATTTCAACTTTAGTGATTTGTCTTGTATTCTGATCTTTTTATTCCCTCCATTCTTTCTCGACGTAGCAGCTGGAATTTGTCCTCATTGAACATCGTATTGTTGTCAGTGGTCCACTGGAAGACTTGGTATATATAAGCTTGGAGACCCGCTGTGTCTTCTATGGATGCCACCTGTACAGGATACTACAGTGCTATGGTTTATCTCCCTTTCTATGTCTAATATGACAATGATAAGGAGAGTACGGTGCCTTGTGGAACAGAGCTTCTCACTGTAGCAGCCCCCCTGATTTCACTGTTTACTATTACTCTTTGTGTTCTAGAGTGCCTAGGATGAGTCCAGAGTCTCCACACACACATCAAATAGTCACGGTATTATGTATCCACCTATAAGTTAAAACATATGCTCTATGTACCTACCGTAGTGGAGGTATTGTGTGTTAGGTATATACAGTACTGTCAAGCAGTCAGTAGGAGACACGTGTAACACTTCATTGACACAATACAGAGAATAATATTAGAGACGGTGGAAGTCGCGTAGCAGTAGTCTAAGGTGATCAGTCCCTCACTCTTGACAGGAGGTGGGTTGGAGAAACATGTCTACATGTTCACTTGGAAGAAACACATGTTCACTTGTGTTTTATTCACGGTGGAGGTGAGGAGTAAGCACCAACAACAATAGTCTGAGCAATGTGCCTCAGTCATGCTAAGTCAGTGAGAAGTAACTTGTGATGGCTGACGTTCACCTAGCGTGTTCAGTGTCCAAACCATGACTTATTACCACAGTAATACGTCTGATTGCATCCAACCTGACGAAACTTGAAGTTTGAAGACCTGAAGCTTACCTGACGACGGTATCTGGGGTCACCGCCCCCCTACGACCCGGTCCCAGACCAAATACGTAGTGCAGCAACTTATTTCATTACCTCGTGTGGTGTCTGCTGAAATATTATATAGTGTTATGCAGTGGAGAGACATCGTGATGCCAGGGAAGGACTCTTGATCCAAGCAGCTGGAGATACCCTCCCCTTCCTTGGATTAAACCAGACTACCTTCCATCTTCCCAGGCGCTGGGTCACCCTTCAGTTTACAGTCTGTCATCCTGACTCAGCTCTGTCTAATGTACAGTAATCATTCCCCCTCCCCAGGATGCCGCCCACTTCCTTCGACTAGCATTTGTAATAATAATAATAATAATAATAATAATAATAATAATAATAATTTATTTTTACAAGTACATGATGCAACTTATACAGATCGTAGCTGACATCAGTGACATCTGGATAAGTAAAGTGTAATCAACACTTGTCAGTGTTCAATAATAACTCACATGGTTATAGAAACTCGGAAGATAGATTGATTTATATATTTGGATCCCCTTCTGGGATCCTCTACTGGTTATGTACAACATTTCTGGCAACTTAGCTAAGCTTGTCCCCAGGATGCGACCCACACCAGTCGACTAACACCCAGGTACCTACTTACTGCTAGGTGAACAGTGATAGCAGGTGTAAGGGAACTAACACCCAGATACCTACTTACTGCTAGGTGAACAGTGACAGCAGGTGTAAGGTAACTAACACCCAGGTACCTACTTACTGCTAGGTGAACAGTGATAGCAGGTGCAAGGGAACTAACACCCAGGTACCTACTTACTGCTAGGTGAACAGTGACAGCAGGTGTAAGGTAACTAACACCCAGGTACTTACTTACTGCTAGGTGAACAGTGACAGCAAGTGTAAGGTAACTAACACCCAGGTGCCTACTTACTGCTAAGTGAAGTGACAGCAGGTGTAAGGTAACTAACACCCAGGTACCTACTTACTGCTAGGTGAACAGTGACAGCAGGTGTAAGGTAACTAACACCCAGGTACCTACTTACTGCTAGGTGAACAGTGACAGCAGGTGTAAGGGAACTAACATTTGTCCAACATTTGGAATCTATATTAAGGAAACGTTTCACCAGTGGGTGGCGTCTTCAGTCCAACACAGTGTTGGGCTTCAGTCCAACACTGTGTTGGGCTTCAGTCCAACACAGTGTTGGGCTTCAGTCCAACACAGTGTTGGGCTTCAGTCCAACACAGTGTTGGGCTTCAGTCCAACACAGTGTTGGGCTTCAGTCCAACACAGTGTTGGGACTCGCATTTGTTTTCTAATCTGTAATATTCGACACTAAGTCTACAAAAACAACAAGTTTGGGAGTATCATGTGGGAGTAGCTGGCACAGCGGCCCACCTGTCTCCTAGTGAACTTCGTAGCTTCTAATACATTCCTATGACCAGTATCCAGAGTTGTCCTACTGCAGTCTGGTCATAGGTCAGACTTGTCTGGTGCTAACCTTGTCAACTAGGCTGTTGGTGCTGGCGGCCTGCTGGCTCACATATTCACCTTAGTCTGGTTGATCTGGCACTTAGCGAAGTTTTTAGCCGAATTTCCTTTTGAAGGTTTCTATACCTGTTCCGGTGATGTTTTTTAGATCTTCTGGTAGAATGTTGAATAGTCACGGATCATGGATGTTGATAGTGTTCTCTTATTGTGGCCACGGCGCTCCTGCTCTTTGCTGGGTATATTTTACACTTCCTCCCACATCTCTCACTCTAGTATGTAGGTTTGGAATCAGTCCCTTGAGCACCTTCGTGTATCTATATCTCCACTGAGTACATGTTTATGACAATGATGCGTTCCCAGTAATTTAAATACTTCATTGGCTCTGTGTTGGCCGTAAATAATGTCGGTATTTGTTCCACCTCCCATATCTCTCCCGCAGTGAATGGAGACGTCAACTCTCAACAATACTCTAAGCAAGAGAACACAAGCCAAGTGATTGTTGTCATCAATGTTTTGATAGTTCTCACCATCCAACTTCTCATTTTCTTGCCTTTCACAACATTTGTGTTCTTTAAAAGTTGTCTCTTAGCATCTATATCTACGAGTGAACACTGTAGCCTCTAAAGTAATTGTCTCCCAGACTTTGACTCTAATGTAAACCCAGTTTTAGTTCAGTGTCTATCTGTTTGTGAAGCTGCGTTAGGAACAGGCAGACCTACCTCTCTCTCTCTCTCTCTCTCTCTCTCTCTCTCTCTCTCTCTCTCTCTCTCTCTCTCTCTCTCTCTCTCTCTCTCTCTCTCACACACACACACACACACACGCACACACACACACACACACACACACACTTCTGACACCATTCCAGGCTACAGACTAAGCTGACGACACTCCAGGCTACAAACTAGGCTGACACCACTCCAGGTTACATACGAGGCTGACTTCACACTAGGCTGACACCACACCAGGCTACACACTAGGCTGAAAACACACCAGGCTACACACTAGGCTGAAAACACACCAGGCTACACACTAGGCTGAAAACACACCAGGCTACACACTAGGCTGACAACACTCCAGGCTACACACTAGGCCCACAACACACCAGGCTACACACTAGGCTGACAACACTCCAGGCTACACACTAGGCTGACAACACACCAGGCTAAACACTAAGCTGACAACACTCCAGGCTAAACACTAAGCTGACAACACTCCAGGCTACACACTAGGCTGACAACACTCCTGGCTACACACTAGGCTGATAACACACCCGGCTAACACTAAGCTGACAACACTCCAGGCTAAACACTAAGCTGACAACACTGCAGGCTACACACTAAGCTGACAACACTCCAGACTACACACTAGGCTGACAACACTCCAGGCTACACACTAAGCTGACAACACTCCAGACTACACACTAGGCTGACAACACCCCAGGCTAACACTAGGCTGACAACACTCCCAGCTACAACACTAGGCTGACAGCACCCAGGCTACACACTAGGCTGACAACACTCCAGGCTACACACTAAGCTGACAACACTCCAGGCTACACACTAGGCTGACAACACTCCAGGCTACACACTAAGCTGACAACACCCCAGGCTACACACTAGGCTGACAACACTCCAGGCTACACACTAGGCTGACAACACCCCAGGCTACACACTAGGCTGACAACACCCCAGGCTACACACTAGGCTGACAACACTCCAGGCTACACACTAGGCTGACAACACTCCAGGCTACACACTAGGCTGACAACACCCCAGGCTACACACTAGGCTGACAACACTCCAGGCTACACACTAGGCTGACAGCACTCCAGGCTACACACTAGGCTGACAACACTCCAGGCTACACACTAGGCTGACAACACTCCAGGCTACACACTAGGCTGACAACACTCCAGGCTACACACTAGGCTGACAACACTCCAGGCTACACACTAAGCTGACAACACTCCAGGCTACACACTAGGCTGACAACACTCCAGGCTACACACTAGGCTGACAACACTCCAGGCTACACACTAGGCTGACAACACTCCAGGCTACACACTAGGCTGACAACACTCCAGGCTACACACTAGGCTGACAACACTCCAGGCTGCGGAAATAAACCACTCGTTGCTTTAATTAAAACGTAGATTTACTGAGGCAATAATGAAACATATAACTTCTTAAGACTCCACCGTAACTTGGCGACCCTCCCTGTAATATTTCTAACTCGCCGAGTAATATTTCTAACTCGCCGAGTAATATTTCTAACTCGTCCTTATATTTCTAACTCGTCCTTGTAATATTTCTAACTCGTCCTTATATTTCTAACTCGTCCTTGTAATATTTCTAACTCGTCCTTATATTTCTAACTCGTCCTTGTAATATTTCTAACTCGCCGAGTAATATTTCTAACTCGGCGAGTAATATTTCTAACTCGCCGAGTAATATTTCTAACTCGTCCTTGTAGTATTTCTAACTCGTCGTTATAATATTTCTAACTCGTCCTTGTAATATTTCTAACTCGTCCTTGTAATATTTCTAACTCGTCCTTGTAATATTTCTAACTCGCCGAGTAATATTTCTAACTCGTCCTTGTAGTATTTCTAACTCGTCGTTATAATATTTCTAACTCGTCCTTGTAATATTTCTAACTCGTCCTTGTAATATTTCTAACTCGTCCTTGTAATATTTCTAACTCGTCGTTATAATATTTCTAACTCGTCCTTGTAATATTTCTAACTCGTCCTTGTAATATTTCAAAACTCGTCCTTGTAATATTTCTAACTCGTCCTTGTAATATTTCTAACTCGTCCTTGTAATATTTCTAACTCGCCGAGTAATATTTCTAACTCGCCGAGTAATATTTCTAACTCGTCCTTGTAGTATTTCTAACTCGCCGAGTAATATTTCTAACTCGCCGAGCTCTATTATGAAAAAGAAATTTTCTCAGACGTTATTTTAAGAAGCGAGTTGAATGTGTTATAGATAATTGATAATTGATAATTATGTTGATAAAAATGTATTGATAAGAGGGGGGAGGGGGTGATTCCCCGGTGTTTTACTTGTATCATAATTAACCTGTAATGAGTAAATGATACACTAAACATACTCCTATATATTCTGAACCACATTCCATTACCTTGGATCAAGAACCTTCCATAAACATTAATGTACTACCGAAAGGCATCAGTATTCATTATAAATATGCCGTGCCGAATAGGTAAAAACTTGCGATTTTGGCTTAAACAGCAATGATCTTCTTGCCGAATAAGACAAGCGAAAATTTGTGTATGCAGTAATTTGGCAAAAATCATTCTGAACCTAACGGAGAATATATATTTCTCTGTATTTGTTTTTTATTAAATTATTGTAAACTTGTCTAAAATATATTTAGCTGGATTAGGCTAAATTAAATTTCGGTTGTTATAATAAGGTTAGGTAAGTTTTCTAAGGTTCTTTTGGTACAAAATTATTAATTTTTACATTAACATAAATGAAAAAAATATATTTTTAAACGTACAAGATAAAATTTTAGAAAGGACTTAATTTTAAATGAGTTCTTGCTAATTGATCAGTTTTACATATTTGTGTTCAGTGACAAATTCTATTTACAGAAATTTGCATACCGAGTATAAGCTTGAGAATATACTGTTTACCATGGTTTAGAAAGACACGTAAGCAAACACTATAACATATTTATTAGAAAACGTTTCGGTCCTGGGACCTTGACCACTTCTAACATACAGAGGTAGAAAGACATTATATATATAGGCGGAGAGTGAGATGTGACGCACGTGACCTGAGGAATGTCATAAGAACATAAGAATGGAGGAACACTGTAGAAGGCCTACAGGCCCATGCGAGGCAGGTCCTTATCAAAACAACCTCTACCTATGATGAGGACGGGTAGACGATGAAATCAAGTGACTCCTGTGTTGTTGGGTTGGTGCTGCTTAAGTATCATGTATGCCAATGTTTTTGAAATTTTGTAGTTTCCAGTGTTGCGTTCTATAGTGTCGGTGACGGTGATTAGTGAGGCTTCTAGGCACCGTGTTTGCTTACGTGTCTTTCTAAACCAACTTGTCGGTATTTATTACCAAGGTTTATACCACTGTTTACCATACAATGAAAATTTCTCTCACCTCCTATAAGGTCTTGAATACTTTAATGTTAAAGTTGGCTTTAAATATGTCAATACAGTGAAACAAAAACTAATTAAAAATTTTCCTTAGGAACCTGTAGGTTGTGTTTATTCCATCCATTGTAAAAGATGTGACAACTTTTACTTAGGACAAACTGGAAAATCTCTCGAGACCAGAATTAAACATAAATATGCACTATCTAATAATGGACTAGTGACTGGTACTTTGTTCATTCATTGTGTAAATTGGACTAATGCGAAAGAATTACTTCCCTGTAATTCTACAGTTCAATGAAATATTGTGGAATTATCTCTTATCGATCATGATTAACAACATATTTCAATTTTTTTGCTCTGGAATGTATAAACTTGACAATTTTATAATCCAGAATATTTTTCGTAATATTAAAGGTAAAAATATTTTTCACAAAAATACAGTGTTCTGTGTCAGGAGAATATATAATCTAACTTGATGTTGGACAAATGTATGAGTGGATTAGGTTTTCTCAGGACGGTTTTTTGAGGTGTTGTCACCTTTGAGTGAGGTGTCACCTCAGGGTTTAACATACATCTGATCACTTCAATAAAAAGGACACTTCAGACACTCGAGGAGCAAGGATGGCGCTACTATCAACTGAATCCCGAGCCATGTCGGCATTCCAGGCAACGACACATCAGACGAGGCAGCTAAGATGGCCACTTATGATATGCAGCCGCGTGCCACTGTCCGCATCAGCCTTCACCAGGGCAGCCATGCGCAGATGACCGGTCCTATCCGGCTCAAGATCTCGGATGGGACCGGGAACCTCCACCCTTCTCCCCGCAATGCATACGCAGACTAGAGAGCAACGTGTGACAGTTCGCCAACTACAACTTGCATTCATGACTTAGCGCATATCGTCGAGCAACGAAGAATGGAGCGGTGCGCCCACTGTGAACAGATGGTTGAACCACCACTGGTACACTACCTGCTGGACTGTCCTGCCACGATGCAACCGCCTCCTCCCACAACATACTGTGGGACAGACCCGGGGGGACAGGTCAGCACACCTTGTGTATCTTGCAGTCAAGAACCTGATGACACTGCCCCTATGGGAAGCCACGGCCGGGTCATCACATGGAGAAGACCCGGGCCAAGATGTCCTGGCGAACCAATTTGTACCTGCCATTTCTTCACTTACCCAGGTCAGACACACATGATTCTCAATGAGTTATCAGGTGTTCAACACACCTCCAGAGAATCTCCTGAGTCGTTCTGGCATTCGGGCTGCAGCCTGAGTGCCAGGAATGGCTCAAATGGAGTTGAGTCACCGTGCCCTTGTCATAGGGCTGCCCTCACCATAGGGTTGGAAGCGGTACTCCACGTGACGTGAAAACGACTCATCGTGCCCTTGTCATAGGGCTGCCCCTGCCATAGGGCGGCCCCTGCCATAGGGCGGCCCCTGCCATAGGGTTGCCTTGCCATAGGGCTGCCTTGCCATAGGGCTGTCTAGGGTACATGTACACACACACACCGACACTCCTTCGGGATCCAATGGCGGGTCACCACATAGGAAAGACGGTCCAGGACCCCTTCTGGCAAACCTACATGAACACGAGCTTTTTCTTCCCGTTCCTCTGAAGATATGTGTGTAAGCACATGAAAGAGCTCGGGTTTTATTCCCTATTTTCACTGTGGTTCTTCATACATGCGATGACAGAAATGGAACATTCAGACAAACAGAAATCTCAACATTTCTTTTTTCTCCCAAACCATTTTATTTAAGGAATTTATTTGTTTATATAAATTATTATATATATATTATATATATATATATATATATATATATATATATATATATATATATAATATATATATATATATATATATATATATATATATATAAAATTGTCCGGGTGTTGCTGTTGTTACAGTAATTATTGTGTTGCAGTTCGTGCAGGGAGCGTGATCTTCCTGGTTGGTGTGGGTTCCCTGGTGTGCTGGAAGTTATGGGAACACTGGAGACACGGTGGTAGTGGGGAACCACCCACCACGCCCACACGTACACCCAAGCCCACACCACCAACACGGCGCCCACGGGGCATCCTGGCATCACTACTGGAGGAGGACCTTGTTCAGGATCCTGACGAGTTTGACGATGAAGATCCTGCGTTCATCCAGGTACAGTGTGATAACTTTGTAGTGGTAGCAAGTTATATTGTTCATCCAGGTACAGTGTGATAACTTTGTAGTGGTAGCAAGTTATATTGTTCATCCAGGTACAGTGTGATAACTTAGTAGTAGTAGCGAGTTATATTGTTCATCCAGGTACAGTGTGATAACTTAGTAGTAGTAGCGAGTTATATTGTTCATCCAGGTACAGTGTGATAACTTTGTAGTGGTAGCGAGTTATATTGTTCATCCAGGTACAGTGTGATAACTTAGTAGTAGTAGCGAGTTATATTGTTCATCCAGGTACAGTGTGATAACTTTGTAGTAGTAGCGAGTTATATTGTTCATCCAGGTACAGTGTGATAACTTAGTAGAAGTGAGTTATATTGTTCATCCAGGTACAGCTAGTGATAACTGTAGTGGTAGCGAGTTATATTGTTCATCCAGGTACACTGTGATAACTAGTGTGTGTACGGTTATATGTTCATCAGTACAGTGTGATAACTTAGTAGAAGTGAGTTATATTGTTCATCCAGGTACAGCCTAGTAGTAGTGGTGGTGGTGGTAGTAGTAGTAGTGAGTTGTTCATCCAGGTACAGCCTAGTAGTAGTGGTGGTGGTGGTAGTAGTAGTAGTAGTAGTAGTGAGTTGTTCATCCAGGTACAGCCTAGTAGTAGTGGTGGTGGTGGTGGTAGTAGTAGTAGTGAGTTGTTCATCCAGGTACAGCCTAGTAGTAGTAGTAGTGGTGGTGGTAGTAGTAGTAGTAGTAGTAGTGAGTTGTTCATCCAGGTACAGCCTAGTAGTAGTGGTGGTGGTGGTAATAGTAGTAGTGTGTAGTTGTTCATCCAGTAGTAAGTGGTGTGGTATGTAGTAGTGAGTTGTTCATCCAGGTACAGCCTAGTAGTAGTAGGTGGTGGTGGTGGTAGTAGTAGTAGTAGTAGTGAGTTGTTATCTCAGTAGCTAGTAGTAGTGGTGGTGGTAGTAGTAGTAGTAGTAGTAGTGAGTTGTTCATCCAGGTACAGCCTAGTAGTAGTGGTGGTGGTGGTAATAGTAGTAGTAGTAGTAGTGAGTTGTTCATCCAGGTACAGCCTATAGTAGTAGTATGTGAGTTGTGTTTTTCATCCAGGTACAGCCTAGTAGTAGTGGGTGGGTGGTGTGGTGTAGGTGTGTAGTAGTATAGTAGTACTAGTAGTACTAGTAGTAGTAGTGAGTTATATTGTTCATCCAGGTACAGCCTAGTAGTGGTGGTGGTGGTAGTAGTAGTAGTTAGTAGTGAGTTGTTCATCCAGGTACAGCCTAGTAGTAGTAGAAGTGGTGGTAGTAGTAGTAGTGGTAGTAGTAGTAATAGTAGTAGTGGTAGTAGTAGTAATAGTAGTGAGTTATATTGTTCATCCAGGTACAGCCTAGTAGTAGTAATGGTGGTGGTGGTAGTAGTAGTATTGAGTTACATTGTTCATGCTGGTACAATGTCATGATAACCTAGCCTGGTAGTTGGCAGAATGGAACCCAAGACCAGGTTTTATATCCTAAGTTCCTTCCTTTATGAAAAAAATAGAAAGCTATATAAATGCAGTTGATGATCAAAGAGGAAATAAAATTAAGAGAAAAAAAATATTATAATAATGAATCGAAATTGAAAAAAAAAAAAAAAGTAAATTACAATGGCCAAAGCTACAACGGATAACTTTCTGGTATCTTGGAGACTCCTCCGATAATCTGTAGGATACAAACATGTTTCGGTCAGATTTCCTTATACTACTGAGGTGACGAGAACTGACCAGGACGACCCTATCCTAGATGTCAAAGAATCGTACATGAGCCCTGGTCAATACGGACGTTCATATGATTTTCTTATAGCCAATTAGGCGAGCTGGAGGCTAGTAGAGTAGGCCAGAATATCCTAATAATATAATAATATATCCATTTTTACAAGTACAAGGTATACAGTCCTAGCTGGCATGAATAATATACTACTATATAGAAAGCCGTTTATTATTTAGAGAATTTCCCGCAAATTAGGTCAGTTTTGTCCCAGGATGCGACCCACACCAGTCGACTAACACTCAGGTACCCATTTTCACTGATGGGTGACCATGGAAAACCAGTGTAAGGAAATACGCCCAATGTTTCTACCCTCGCCGAGAATCGGACCCGAATCTTCAGCGTGTGAAGCAAGAGCTTTGGCACCATAGCTCATACGATGGGGTAGGGACTCTGGTCCAGTTACTGAGCCTTACGATGTGGACAGCCCCTTGTGATCAAATAGGAGAGACCCAATTCCAATCCTACGGGTTGAGAAAATAAGAAGTTACTAGAGGACACATAAATTATGACGTGAATATGATAATGGTGTACAATATCGACAGCTTGATACGTAAGACACATGTGCAATATTTAGGTGTATCGTTATTCTGAAACGTTTCGCCTACACAGTAGTCTTCCTCAGTAGAATAAAAAAAAGAGTTTGCAGAAGCAGTAGAGATGTGAACACGATGTAACACAAAACTGATGTGAAAATTACTTAATAATAATAATCTTTATTACTACCAGTACATGTACAAGGTATACAGACCATAGCTGACATCAGTGACATACTACTGTATAGAAAGTCCCTTGTTATGCTGAGTATTTCCCACCAAGTAATTTAAATTTGTCCCCAGGATGCGACCCACACCAGTCGATTAGCACCTGGAATAATATTGTTCCAGACTATGCAGTTGAACTCTTCTCCAGGATGAGGGACTGACTACCTCAAATACTTTTTCTCCAAGATTGGTAGACTGATCACATTGTTGTCACTCAGAAAGCAAATTAAAAGATTGGCTTTATAAAATTGAGAGAAGACTACATGGCCATGCCAGTACTATGAGGAACATTCCCCTAACTATACTCCACCAGTATTAAAATTTTTTTTAAACCGATCTAATGAAAAATTTCCAAGTAATAAATGAAAAACTTTGTGAGAGGAGAAAAAGCACTGTACCCGCACACGTGACCGGCTGTCCAATAAAGCCGGACGAAAATGTAATCTATGATGGATTTTTTTAAAGAAAATGTAATGTGTACTTAAAATGAACAATGAGAAAAAAGACAGTTGATGGGTTGAAGTAGAACTGTACATACTGACACCTTTGAGTAAGATAACTCGGTATTTGAGGTTTGAAGCTGATCGGAAGAAGCATTCTCCAGTTATCACGTGGAAACCAATTTAATAAAATTTGCAAATTAAAATGCACACAGCTCAAAACTCAGGCAAATTTTCCTATAAGCAATGTCTGCCATTGCTGAAAGTTTGAAGCCTATCAGAAGAGGCATTCACCAGTTGTTGAACTCCAATAATTCCAAGTTTGGTAACTATTAACTGCTTCAGGTATATTAACTATGATAGTAAATTGGCAGATTAGTTACTACATACCTTAAACTTACCAAAGTTATCTCATGTCACCGGTACATGTGAAGAGTCGCGGTAACCATAACCTAGTTACAGTACACCAGAGTTTAGAGAGTCGAGACACTCAAGTTTTAAAGGAAAATCGTGGAGGAAAACCAGATAAATTAAAAAAAAAAAAACTTAACGTATAAGGTTCACTGTGGTAAATACCTGACTAAGTAACCAAGTACTTTACACCATAGACTGTTGACTGCTTGTACCAGAGACTGTAGTAATGACAACACTAATGATTGTACTAATGACTGCTGCTTTAATGACTGTACTAATGACAACACTAATGATTGTACTAATGATAACACTAATGATTGTACTAATGACTGTTCTAATGATTGTACTAATGATTGCTCTAATGATTGTGTTAATGACAGCACTAATGATTGTACTAATGACTGCTCTAATGACTGTACTAGTGGCAACACTAATGAGTTTACTAATGACTGCTCTAATGATTGTACTAATGACTGCTCTAATGATTGTACTAATGACTGCTCTAATGATTGTACTAATGACTGCTCTAATGATTGTACTAATAACTGCTCTAATGATTGTACTAATAACTGCTCTAATGATTGTACTAATAAATGTTCTAATGATTGTACTAATGACTGCTCTGCTGACTGTACTAATGACTGTACTAATGACTATGCTAATGACTGTACTAATTACACTAATGACTACACAATACAGAAACACTTTTCTGCATCCAAAACACTAATTAGGTAATTTTTTCAGTTACTATTAAAATAATATCCAGGAATATGTTCATTAAGACTGGAAAAGTTTGTAAACATTTGCATTCATTACATATATATTATATATAATATAAAATTGATATTTACCATGGTATGTTGCAGCTATTGTTGGATATAAGTCGAGAATACGCAACGAAGGTGATTGTGGTCAGTACTTCAGTCATGTGTTTAATATCTGGCTTCAAAAAATAACCTCGTTTGCCCTTTCATAGTCACGTAGTTTTTTTGGCACGTACGTACATACGTGTGTGTGTGTGTGTGTGTGTGTACTCGCCTAGTTGTCATTGCAGGGGTTGATTCACTGCTCCTGGCCCAGCCATTTCGCTGGTCTCTTCTAGGTCACTCTTCCTGCCTCATGAGCTTTATCATACCTCATCTTAAAGCTATGTATGGATCCTGCTTCCACTGCATCACTTTCCAGATTGTTCCCCTTCCTGACAACCCTGTGACTGAAGAAATACTTCCTGACAACCCTGTGACTTGGATGAGTCTTCAACTTCCAACTGTGACCCCTTGTTGCTGTGTCCCATCTCTGGAACATCCTGTCTCTGTCCACCTTGTCAATTCCTCTCAGTATTTTATATCTCGTTATCATATCCCCCTTATCTCTCCTGTCTTCCAGTGTCGTCAGGTTGAGTTCCATAACCTCTCCTCTTAGGATGTTCCCCTTAGCTCTAGGACTAGTCTTGTTGTAAACCTTTGCCCGGTGGCCTGGTGGCTAAAGCTCCCGCTTCACGCACGGAGGGTCCGGGTTCGATTCCCGGCGGGTGGAAACATTTCGACACGTTTCCTTACACCTGTTGTCCTGTTCACCTAGCAGCAAATAGGTACCTGGGTGTTAGTCGACTGGTGTGGGTCGCATCCTGGGGGACAAGATTAAGGACCCCAATGGAAATAAGTTAGACAGTCCTCGATGACGCACTGACTTTCTTGGGTTATCCTGGGTGGCTAACCCTCCGGGGTTAAAAATCCGAACGAAATCTTATCTTATCTCTCTAATCTCTTGATGCTTTGGACAAGGTGTGGGTTTCAAACTGGTGCTGCATACTCCAATATGGGCTTAACGTACACGGTGTACAGTGTCGTGAATGACTTCTTACTTAGATGTCAAAACGCTATTCTTAGGTTTGCCAGGCGCCCATATGCTGCAGGAGTTATTTGGTTGATGTGCGCTTCAGGAGATGTGCTTGGTATTATACACACCCCAAGATCCTTTTACTTGAGTGAGTTTTGCAGCCTTTGACCTCTTAGGCTGTACTCTGTCTGTGGTCTCATTTGTCCTTCCCCAATTTTCATAACTCTGCACTTGTTGGGGTTAAACTCCAGGAGCCATTTGTTGGACGAGACTTGCAGCCTGTCCAGACCCGCTTGTTGGCTTACCTGATCCTTGTCTACTTGTATTCTCATTTGCTTCATATTGTCTGCATCATTCTGTGATGTCATTCACATATACAAGAGCACTGGACCTAGGACTGACCCTTGTGGAACCCCACTTGACACATGAACCCTCTCTGACACCTCATCTCGTGCCGACACATTGTATGTGTGCTCACCTAATTGTGGTTTCGGGGATCGAGACTTGGCTCCTGGCTCTGCCTCTTCACTGACCACTACTGGGTCCTCCCTCACCCTGCTCCATGAGCTTTATTTGTGTGTGTGTGTGTGTGTGTGTGTACTCACCTAGTTGTACTCACCTAGTTGAGGTTGCAGGGGTCGAGTCCAAGCTCCTGGCCCCGCCTCTTCACTGGTCGCTACTAGGTCACTCTCCCTGCTGTGTGTGTGTGTGTGTGTGTGTGTGTGTGTGTGTGTGTGTGTGTGTGTGTGTGTGTGTGTGTGTGTGCATATACTCACCTAGTTGTACTCACCTAATTATGGTTGAAGGGGTCGATTCATAGCTCCTGGCCCTGCCTCTTCACTGGTTGCTACTAGGTCCATTCTCTTCCTGCTCCTTGAGCTTTATCATACCTTTTCTTAAACCCATGTATAAATTTTGAATTCGTGTGCATGTGTGTGTTTGTTCATTTATGTAAGGTTATGAAGGCATAAACAAGAGTGAAATTTAGATTTAGATTTAACTTATAATGAAAATAACACAGTATGTATACTCATACAAATAATACAATATGCATATACTGTAGTGTCTATGCATTTAACATTTTCTAGTTTGAATTTTAATAAGTGATTACTAACTGTTATAAGGATAAGAAACATTATTACATACTTTGTCTTATTTTAAATACTAAAGTATTCTTGACTGGTGGTGACCAGGTGACTTGCAACATGCCAGTGGAAGGATATCAACTGTCCACTTGATCAGTTGGTTAAGTGACCCTGTCAGACTCCCTCTTGGTTAGTGGAATATACCTGGAGAAGGTTTCGGGGGTCAACGCCCCCGTGGTCCGGTTTGTGACCAGGCATCACGGTGGATCAGGGTCTGGTCAACCAGGCTGTTACTGCTGGCCACTGGTCAGGTACTGATTTTAGGTCCCTGTCATGATATTTAATTTCTAACTTGGATCCTAAACATTGGCTATGTAGTGAAGTCTTACATAAAAACTTACATCATTTTATGATGATTTAAAATTATGTGTACAGAGGGTATCACATGTCATCTTAAGAAAATAGTTTGATGCTTCTTAAGAGTGAAGAAGCCTCATAGCTGTGGATTTTAAGCAAAGATTTGACCCACACTGATCAGGGAAGGTGCCCACCATTTAAATTCAAAGTGTATTTACACATGATACATTGTTTATATGGAAATGGGTGACACATGTTAATGCATCTGGAAAAGCCATAGTGATGCAAAGTATTTCAGGCAAGCTTAAGCCTAACTTAAGAATACAAGGGCAGTGAACATTATTAATGTGTATATAAAGACATTAAATGTATACAGATAAGATTGATTCAGTGAGTATACTATAATGAACGTATATGTAAGTAGATTAAATATATACTACATTATACATGATTAGAAGAAAAATTATTTGGGTTATAGTCTACTAAGTTTATAGGTACAATTTTTTTTTCATAGATGACATTAAACTCAAGAACTCATTTTTTGAATTTGAATTTATAGAGAAAAAGCTTCATATTTGTGGATTCTAGACAATGAGTTGGCCCACACTGGGATCACGGAAAGTACTGACCATTTTCAAAGCAACACACTAACCAACATTCACTATGTTCTACGATTTGTACAAAGAAACTGCAGCGATGGCACAAAGTTTTCAGAGCAAGAAAATTACCTCCAGTGGGCCTCCAGAAGCAACAGCCTGGTTGACCAGGCAAGCACCAGACAAGCCTGGCCCATGGCCGGGGTCAGAGAGTAAAGAAATTCTCGAAACTCTTCAAAGGTATATCAAAGGTAAGGTATTACAAGGTTTAAGAGTGGGAGCATAGAGGCTGGACCATCGCTGTGAGAGAAGAATAACTACACCTCTTTCTGAGTAATGAAAAGAGGAAGACTCATCACAGGCAGTAGACAATCCCCTGTCATGAGACAGGGATCCCCCAGTTGAAGCCCTGGCTATCCTAGGGTCCTCAGGGCCAGATGCATGGTTCACTGCATAGGTATGCTTGCAATCCTTAAATGCTGGAGGAAACCAGAACTGGCAGGTGTAGCCCCAGATAACTTCAGTGTACATACCAGCTTGGCAGTGGTTTGTTTTCCAATAAAACAGCCAGCAGCCTACAAAAAAAAAAAAAAAAAAAAAAAAAAAAGGTGGAGGGCATGGCTCCTGAAGAAATCGAAAATTCTGCTGGGCTTTCAGCTTCCCTGACAGAAGATGAGAGGCTGCATGATAAGTCACACTGCCAGCGGTCCAGAGAGAGAATATGACAATTCTTTACAGGATCCCTAGAATATAAAGGTCTACCACACATTCTGAAGGCTGCACTGGACCCCCAGATCTCCATCTCAGAACAATTTATCCTTGATAATGTTAAATGATCATTTATACTGTGTGATGAATATTTTGATAGTAATGTTTGTATTTTTCTCATGCTTACACTGACAGTAAGAGTTTTTTTTGTTAAATAATATAGAACTGTTTGGGTGCTTACATTTTTTTGGAGCAACTGTTTGTTATATAATCTATACTTTAGTAGATTATTATAAATATATGTACACTTTGTGTATTGTTGCAGGGCAAGTATTTTGGCCCAGACAGCCCATGTGAAGAGGTACCCTGTGATGAGGGTTCCTTACTGAGCACTGATGTGAGTGAAGCTAGCAACAGTGAAGCACTAGCCCAGCCTTATCATGCAGATGCCAGTGCTTCTTATTCTGCAGGAGATGGGGTGAGTTACATGTGTGAAGGGCTGTTATACAGCCAGAGTGTGTGAGAGTGGTACATATTTTACATGTTGCTGTAGCTGAACAATACTATTTAACAACAGTCTTACATCTAGGGCCACAATGAAAATACATAAGTCATTTTGTCTGTTTGGGGTTATCCTGGTGGGTTATTTACTCATATGTTTCTTTGTATGATAATTGTTGTCACCTAAATTTATGTAACTGTGTTTATGTGTACCTGTACCTAAACAACTTTACTTATATTTTTTTAAGCTTGGAAAGTCATATGAATAAATACAGTAGAGAGTTGGAGAGGCTGGAGAAAGTTACCAAGTAACAAATGACTTTTATTCCAAATATTCCAACTAATGCAAACTTGTATTCCTGGTATTTCAACTTATGAGTGAGTTACACTCCTAGTGTTCCAACTTAAGAACGAGTTACATTCCTGGCATTTCTAGTTACTAATGAGTTACATTCCCGGTATTCTGAGTTACAAACGAGCAATGGGGAGGGGGGAGGAACTTGGGGGCTTCAGTTCCCCAAAATTCCCTCAGCCCTCCAAAGCCTCTCAAAATAAGTTAGTAATAGTTGTGCTTCAAAACAAGTCTCCTAGCCTCTCTTCCAGTCAGATAGCCGCCCCTGAGACCCTGCATAGAAATTCCTCCTTTTATATTGGACATGTCTTCCCCTTCCAAGCCTGATTACCTCTCTTTTCCCAGGCACTGTGTGACCCCTATGGGTTTAGCACTTCTCTGTAGGTCATGCATGTTGTAAGAGGCGACTGAAATGCTGGGAGCAAGGGGCTAGTAGCTCCTCCTGTACAAATTACTAAAAAATTTTTTTTTCAACTAACTGGCCATTAGTGGTTAGTGGACAAATTTGGGAGAGTGTGTAAAGGTAGAAAGTTGAAAGTGAACATAGAAAAGAGTAAGGTGATGAGAGTATCAAATGATATAAATAAAGAAAAATTGGATATCAAATTGGGGAGGAGGAGTATGGAAGAAGTGAATGTTTTCAGATACTTGGGAGTTGACATGTCGGCGGATGGATTTATGAAGGATGAGGTTAATCATAGAATTGATGAGGGAAAAAAGGTGAGTGGTGCATTGAGATATATGTGGAGACAAAAAACGTTATCTATGGAGGCACAGAAGGGAATGTATGAAAGTATAGTAATACCAACACTCTTATATGGGTGTGAAGCTTGGGTTGTGAATGCAGCAGCGAAGAGGCGGTTGGAGGCAGTGGGGATGTCCTGTCTAAGGGCAATGTGTGGTGTAAATATTATGCAGAAAACTCGGAGGGTGGAAATTAGGAGAAGGCATGGAGTTAATAAAAGTATTAGTCAGAGGACTGAAGAGGGGTTGTTGAGGTGGTTTGGTCATTTAGAGAGAATGGATCAAAGTAGAATGACGTGGAGAGCGTATAAATCTGTAGGGGAAGGAAGGCGGGGTAGGGGTCGTCCTCGAAAAGGTTGGAAGGAAGGGGTAAGGGAGATTTTGTGGGCGAGGGGCTTGGACTTCCAGCAGGCGTGCATGAGCGTGTTCAATAAGAGTGAATGGCGATAAATGGTATTTGGGACCTGACGATCTGTTGGAGTGTGAGCAGGGTAATATTTAGTGAAGGGATTCAGGGAAACCTGTTATTTTTATATAGCTGGACTTGAGTCCTGGAAATGGGAAGTACATATGTACAATGCCTGCACTCTAAAGGAGGGGTTTGGGATATTGGCAGTTTGGAGGGATATACTGTGTATTTTTATACGTATATACAGTGGACCCTCGAGTTTCGACAGCCTTGACTTTTGTGAAATTCGACCTTCGGCGAGTTTTTTTGGCAAAATTTGGCCTCGAGTTTCGTGATTAGACTCGTGTTTCGGCGACCATCCGGTACCCATCTGCCCGTCACCGCGCACACCAAGCCAGTCTCCCACGCCATTCACGCTCAGTGTGCCATTGTTTACCAACACGTGACCATCACCCCGTTTGTTCATACAATACATTTCATAATAATCCATTGCTTTTTGTGCTTGCAACTGCTAAATAAGTCATCATGGACCCTAGGAAAGCTAGTGCAAGCCCTTTGGTAAATAAAGTGAGGAACACGATCCAGAGGGAGTTTGAAGGGTTTGAGGCAGACCCTGTCCCTGCCGACCCTCTGCCTGTTGTGGAAGGTGTTGTGGCATTGGGCAAGTCCATGGGGTTGGAGGTGAGTGACAGAGATGTGGAAGAGTTGGTGGAGACCACAGGGAAGAGCTAACCACTGATGAACTGCAAGAGCTTCAACTGGAACAGCATCAGGCCACAGCCGAGGAACTTGCTACAGAGGAGGAGGAAAAGAGAGTGAAGGAGGTTCCTTCTTCAGTGATTAAGGACATGTGTGGAATGTGGAATGAGTTACAAAGCTTTGTTGAAAAGTATCACCCTGACCAAGCTGAAACAAGCTATATCTGCAACATGTACAATGACAGTGTTGTGTCCCACTTCAGGGAAATCTTAAAGAAACGCCAGAAAAAGACCTCTCTGGCCAGATATTTTGTGCGACAGGGGTCCAGTGACTCGCAAGTTGTTCCCAGTGGCATTAAAAGAAGAAGGGAAGTAACCCCAGATAAGGACTTGCTACCTAAAGTCCTAATGGAAGGAGATTCTCCTTCCAAACAATAGTGTACATCTTCCTCCTATCCCCTCCTCCCGTCTTTCATCCACCCAGAAGTCTTCAGTAAAGGTAAGTGTAATGTTATTATTATTTTTTATATGCATGTACTTGATTTCTCATTGATTTCAGTATATAAATCTTTATATAATTTGAAAAAAAAAAAAAATTATTTTAATATTTTTGGGTGTCTGGAACGGATTAATTTTATTTCCATTATTTCTTATGGGGAAAATGGTTTCGAGTTTCGTGAATTTCGACTTTCGGCAGGCTCTCTGGAACGGATTAATCACGAAACTTGGGGGTCCACTGTACTTCTTAACTGTTGTATTCTGAGCACCTCTGCAAAAACAGTGATTATGTGTGAGTGAAGTGAAAGTGTTGAATGATGATGAAAGTATTTTCTTTTTGGGGATTTTCTTTCTTTTTGGGTCACCCTGCCTCAGTGGGAGACAGCCGACTTGTTAAAAAAAAAAAAAAAAAAAAAACTTACGTGTTTCTTTTTAAGTCATCCTGCCATGATAGGATACAGCTGGTGTGTTGAAAAAAAAAATAACATTAATGTTGTCTTCATTCAACAGGGTTCATCATCTGGTGAGGAGAGTCTTCCCACTGATGAGGACTCTGATGCTCACCGTCATGGCACTAACAAGAGAGTCATCAAGAGGAAACACAGAGCCTCTGAATTATGCAAAAATCAGGTTTGTATGTGTTAAACAAATGTTGTAAGTAACAATAATAAAAGGGAATGTCATATAGCCTTAACTTGAGTAGTTGGATGCACTATACCTAACTTGATGAGTCCATTATATGTATTTTAAGTCAGCTTTACCAAATTTGATGTGTTAGATGTACTTTAGTAGAGTCTGATATCCTTGAGCAGTCAGATTTATTTCACTGTAGAACAGTCTTGAATTAAGTTTAATGCTCTACTCATCATTATAACTAGAAGCTCATAGCATGAAATACATGTATCCTTCATAAGCTATAAACTTTCCTTCCTTAAGAAGCCCACATTATTATTATTATTATTATTATTATTATTATTATTATTATTATTATTATTTTAACCATGGGAAATGCTACACTGTAGGGGTCATGCAACTTCTGTGGGAATTAGTCTCACTCAGGTTTGATTTAAGGAAAGGAACAGTAGCTCTGATATCTTAGATTAAGATCCTTGACTAGCATGAAGACACTTTCCTTCAAAGATCTCCCATTAAAGAAAACTACACTTATGAGAGGAAACGTTCGAGTATGTTTGGGTTCATCTTGGACCATTGTCAGGGTCCAGGATGGACCCAAACATCATAAGTTTCCACTCGTAAGTGTGTTTTTTTTTTCCATCCACAGTATTGAGTCTTTTTATTCTCTAGGTGTACATCTAAGGAATGAAGTCTCAGTACCATGGCTGTAACGTTTAAAAAACCTGCACTTAGAGACTTATTCTCTAGGCATGCATCTAAGATGCTCTGTTGTCCCTAATACAACATTATGTATGATTTATGTATCCCTGCATTAGCTAGTCAAGTTTCTCGGCCTTTTGTTTGAATGCTGTATGTCCTGGAAACCTCTCGAAACCTTCCTGAAAGCAACTTACAATAGCCAGCTGAACCTCCCTAAAACTCTTGCCCATCTTTCTTGGAAGGGTGATAGATGAAATCTTCTTCATCTTCATTCTGCTCTAATCTTATTGAAAATGGATTATGGCGACCAGCTATATTCTGCGGCCTCTCCCACAACTCTTTCTAAACTTGAACCCATTCATCATTAAGGGTTACGTTTGTGTTTAGGTGCTTTCCGTTCCTCCCTGATTGAGAGCTCATATGCAGAGGTGACTGCTCATCTTTGCAAGATCGGGGTGATGCACATTGTCTCTCTTATTTTGTCTGCTCTCATGACCTTCATGATCCTTCTACATATAGGGTGATAACAGATGTTAGTAGAAGTCCTTTCTTTGATTGCCACCTTGTTTACTACATCTCTTTTCTCTCCACATTCACTATCTCTTGGCTTCCTTTCATTTACTCCCTCCATATGTCCATCCAGCATCTAACTTTTCTTTTCTCCATTTGGAAGTTCCAACGTTTCGTGTCTGTTCTTCTCCATTTCTGTGCAACAGCTCAATTGCCTACTGTAGCTTCTCACTCCATTTTTCTTAATCACTTCCGATCTCATTCTTAAGTCAATGCAGTTTACACTGATGGCTCTAAGTCTTAAGGTGTCGGGTTTGCAGCAGCTTTTCCAGAGTTATACAAGGTCATTTATTAGACTCAGCTAGCATTTTCAGAGCTGTATTGTATGCAGTTCTCATGGGCATTGTACATATTGGATCCCTGCCTACCTCAACATTCGTATTAGGTTCAGACTTCTTAAGTTCATTACGGGCTATCCTAAAATTTGATTCTTCTTCTCCCATCATTCTTTGTATACAACTTTGATTGTGCTTCATTTCTAGTAAACACATTATAACCATGGGGGACCACTAAACCCATAGGGATTATACAGCACCTGTAGGGGAGGATGGAAGGTATATAAGCTTCAGTTCAGGGAACTGGAGCACAGATTCAATTCTCCAGATAAAGAACCCCTGAGCAGCATCAAGGAACTTTCCTTGAGGGGTCTAGTAAACACAAAGACATCATTTTCTGCTGGACCCCTGGACACGTGGTTGTTTGGGGAAATGAGTAGGCGGACTCTGCTGTGTGGTCACTCGTTCATGACCTCATATTATATAGAGGTATTCCATTCTCTGATTATTTTGAAGTAATCTCTAGACAGTTATGCAACTGTTGGCAACAGTGGGGGTCTGAGTTGGTCTATAATAAACTGCATTCTGTCAAACCTTGTTTGGATTTCTGGTAATTTTATCACATGTCGTGTTTGTGAGACTACACTTTCTCGCCTATATATCAGACACATGGCTTACTCATAGGTATCTCATGGAGAAATACTCAGCACTGCTCTGTGGGAATTGTCAAGTTCTGTTGTCTGTTTTTCTTCATTAACTGTCCTGTCTATCAGCCATCAGCAGAATTTACTTCCGACATCATCATCGCCCAGGTGCACTTATGTTATCTGACCTCCTTGCTGACCTTTGATGTAGACTCCATCTTTGACTTTCTGTCAGCAACTGCCTTATTACACTAACTTTGGTTAGATTTTCCCTTTAGTGCTCCCCACTGCCCTGGCTAATGCCTCTTACATACTCCTAACCATCACTAGTCAATGATCTTTGCATATTTCTTCTAAAGCGCATCCCACCTTGCAGCCCTGTATGGCTCTTACGGGGTTTAGCTCTTAGTTTTGACTGTAATAATAATAATTGAAGCATGCATCTAACCTTGTAGACATGAGTTACCTTAGTAAATTATTTATATCTTGCAGGGCACTCCATCGAGACAGAGCCTTGTTAAACCCACAGCAGTTCAGGCAGTTTCTCTCACCAGCTGTGGAGGCAAGCCAAAAACTGAAACCAGGTAAGCTATATTTCTGACTTTGTTTGTTCAACACTTAACTGAGGCATTAGCAGTTTGATCTTATTGCTAAAGTTCAATTTTGGCACTAGAGTAAATATTTTGTTTTTACGATCCATACTCCGTTTTTATAGTATTCATGGTAGTTAATAGGCAAATTAGCCAAGTACAGCCTCTCCTCACTTAGCAACATACTTATTTACCAACCACTTGGATGTATGACCAGCCCTCCAACCAGTATGCAAACCTAAATAATGTATATAAAAACTGATTTCCTCTCTTCTGTTTATTACAGTATACAGTAAACTACTGTATAAACATTTAGAAATGTACCAGAAATGTTATAAATGGTGCAAAGGTGACAGTAAAAAAATATCTAAAGATGGTTCTTCTTCTTCTTAAAGATTAGCCGGTATTCTCCCGGCCCGGGACTTTTCCAAGTGGTGACCCGGCCTTGGCTCCCTCTTTAGGGAGTGTCTGAGACCTAAGTCTGCCATGGGAGGAGGCACAAGTACCTCCTCATCTTTGGGACCAACTGTCCCCAGGCCTAGCCACAAGCTAGGCCTCTCTGGTCTGCCATCCCCGCCCCAAGGGAGCAAATGGGAATGACAGTCGTATGAGCTAAAGTCTCGGGCTCTTCTCTCCCCTTAAAGATGGTTGACGCAAACCCACTACCAGTATAGTATGCTCCTCACTTAATGACCAATTCGCTTACTGACCCCAGTGTTAAGTGAGGAGAGGCTGTATTATGGTTCACTACATTTATAGCAAAAAATATTTTGTTAAAATATCCTTATGGCAAATAGGCTGTTTGGACTTTTAACCCTTTCAGGGTTGACAGGCCCTCTCCCATACTTGTTCTCAGGGTCGACAAATTTAAAAAAAAAAAAAAAAAAAAATTTTTTCTTATGAAAAGATAGAGAATCTTTTCCCGATCATAATGACACCAAAAGTATGAAATTTGATGGAAAACTTAAGGAATTATGCTCTCGCAAAGTTAGCGGTCTCAACTATGTTTATACATCGGCGATTTTGCCCACTTTGAGCCCTATTTTTGGCCAATTCCAGTGTACTAGTTGACAGAAATCATAATTATTTCACTAGAACTCCATTTTTCTATTGAATGAGTACAAGAAACCACCCATTTACCAATTTTGCCAATTTCACACAAATTTCAAAAGATGCCAATTTCCAAATAGGGTTCAGAATAAACAAGAAAGACATTCCTGGCACTAAAATAACATTTCCTCTATTCATTAGTCACGTTCCCAGGCCCCTCTTACATTCTTTTGCTTTCCACTTTGAATTTTTATTCTCACAAAAAATAGAAGATTTACTGTTATGCAGACTACTGAATTAGTGTAGAAATGGTATAAATAATATCAGCACACTTGTGAAATAATATTAGACTCGCCACTTGACATGTATTGGATGCGTAGCATGATATGTTTACTTTTGAACTTTGGCAAAAATCGAAGATTTCTGCTACTTTGAGTTCAATTTCAAGGTACTTTTCATTGTAAAACCAATCAAAATCATCTCAATTTCTGTAATATGTCTTCCATTCTATAAAATGAGACCAGGAAAACTAGAATACCATCATAAATACCATACGAAAATAGAGTGTAAAGTCGCTGTTTTAAACCAAAAACACTGTCAAAGTTTTTTTTTTTCTCATTATGCACTGTGTGCTGCTTGATTTTTTTATACTGTGCACACTGACCACATAGACCCATTCTTTCGTATGTAGGCCTACCAGCTTTCTCTCACTTGATTTGAGGGCGCTAGAATTTAGGCGTACTAGTACGTCAAAAACCCTGAAAGGGTTAATATTGAAATTCTTGGCATCACATCAAGAGGTATAAATAATAACAGATTCTAAGGCTATACAGTACTACTTAAACTTTATTTTTTTTTTTATCACACTGGCCGATTCCCACCAAGGCAGGGTGGCCCGAAAAAGAAAAACTTTCACCATCATTCACTCCATCACTGTCTTGCCAGAAGAGTGCTTTACACTACAGTTTAAACTGCAACATTAACACCCCTCCTTCAGAGTGCAGGCACTGTACTTCCCATCTCCAGGACTCAAGTCCGGCCTGCCGGTTTCCCTGAATCCCTTCATAAATGTTACTTTGCTCACACTCCAACAGCACGTCAAGTATTAAAAACCATTTGTCTCCATTCACTCCTATCAAAAACGCTCACGCATACCTGCTGGAAGTCCAAGCCCCTCGCACACAAAACCTTTACCCCCTCCCTCCAACCTTTCCTAGGCAGACCCCTACCCCGCCTTCCTTCCACTACAGACTGATACACTCTTGAAGTCACTCTATTTCGCTCCATTCTCTCTACATGTCCAAACCACCTCAACAACCCTTCCTCAGCCCTCTGGACAACAGTTTTGGTAATTCCGCACCTCCTCCTAAATTCCAAACTACGAATTCTCTGCATTATATTCACACCACACATTGCCCTCAGACATGACATCTCCACTGCCTCCAGCCTTCTCCTCGCTGCAACATTCATGACCCATGCTTCACACCCATATAAGAGCGTTGGTAAAACTATACTCTCATACATTCCCCTCTTTGCCTCCAAGGACAAAGTTCTTTGTCTCCACAGACTCCTAAGTGCACCACTCACCCTTTTCCCCTCATCAATTCTATGATTCACCTCATCCTTCATAGACCCATCCGCTGACACGTCCACTCCCAAATATCTGAATACATTCACCTCCTCCATACTCTCTCCCTCCAATCTGATATTCAATCTTTCATCACCTAATTTTTTGTTATCCTCATTACCTTACTCTTTCCTGTATTCACTTTTAATTTTCTTCTTTTGCACACCCTACCAAATTCATCCACCAATCTCTGCAGCTTCTCTTCAGAATCTCCCAAGAGCACAGTGTCATCAGCAAAGAGCAACTGTGACAACTCCCACTTTGTGTGATTCTTTATCTTTTAACTCCACGCCTCTTGCCAAGACCCTCGCATTTACTTCTCTTACAACCCCATCTATAAATATATTAAACAACCACGGTGACATCACACATCCTTGTCTAAGGCCTACTTTTACTGGGAAATAATTTCCCTCTTTCCTACATACTCTAACTTGAGCCTCACTATCCTCGTAAAAACTCTTCACTGCTTTCAGTAACCTACCTCCCACACCATACACCTGCAACATCTGTCACATTGCCCCCCTATCCACCTTGTCATACGCCTTTCCCAAATCCATAAATGCCACAAAGACCTCTTTAGCCTTATCTAAATACTGTTCACTTATATGTTTCACTGTAAACAGCTGGTCCACACACCCCCTACCTTTCCTAAAGCCTCCTTGTTCATCTGCTATCCTATTTTCCATCTTACTCTTAATTCTTTCAATAATAACTCTACCATACACTTTACCAGGTATACTCAACAGACTTATCCCCCTATAATTTTTGCACTCTCTTTTGTCCCCTTTGCCTTTATACAAAGGAACTATGCATGCTCTCTGCCAATCCCTAGGTACCTTACCCTCTTCCATACATTTATTAAATAATTGCACCAACCACTCCAAAACTATATCCCCACCTGCTTTTAACATTTCTATCTTTATCCCATCAATCCCGGCTGCCTTACCCCCTTTCATTTTACCTACTGCCTCACGAACTTCCCCCACACTCACTGGCTCTTCCTCACTCCTACAAGATGTTATTCCTCCTTGCCCTATACACGAAATCACAGCTTCCCTATCTTCATCAACATTTAACAATTCCTCAAAATATTCCCTCCATCTTCTCAATACCTCTAACTCTCCATTTAATACCTCTCCTCTCCTATTTTTAACTGACAAATCCATTTGTATATGGAGAGTAAAAGAAAGGTGAAGAGAGTGGTGAGAGAGTGCAAAAGGAGAGCAGATGAAAGAGTGGGAGAGGCACTGTCAAGAAATTTTAATGAAAATAAGAAAAAATTTTGGAGTGAGTTAAACAAGTTAAGAAAGCCTAGGGAAAGTATGGATTTGTCAGTTAAAAACAGAGTAGGGGAGTTAGTAGATGGGGAGAGGGAGGTATTAGGTAGATGGCGAGAATATTTTGAGGAACTTTTAAATGTTAAGGAAGAAAGGGAGGCGGTAATTTCATGCACTGGCCAGGGAGGTATACCATCTTTTAGGAGTGAAGAAGAGCAGACTGTAAGTGTGGTGGAGGTACGTGAGGCATTACGTAGAATGAAAGGGGGGTAAAGCAGCTGGAACTGATGGGATCATGACAGAAATGTTAAAAGCAGGGGGGGATATATAGTGTTGGAGTGGTTGGTACTTTTGTTTAATAAATGTTTGAAAGAGGGGAAGGTACCTAGGGATTGGCGGAGAGCATGTATAGTCCCTTTATATAAAGGGAAAGGGGACAAAAGAGATTGTAAAAATTATAGAGGAATAAGTTTACTGAGTATACCAGGAAAAGTATACGGTAGGGTTATAATTGAAAGAATTAGAGGTAAGACAGAATGTAGAATTGCGGACGAACAAGGAGGTTTCAGAGTGGGTAGGGGATGTGTAGATCAAGTGTTTACATTGAAGCATATATGTGAACAGTATTTAGATAAAGGTAGGGAAGTTTTTATTGCATTTATGGATTTAGAAAAGGCATATGATAGAGTGGATAGAGGAGCAATGTGGCAGATGTTGCAAGTATATGGAATAGGTGGTAAGTTAATAAATGCTGTAAAGAGCTTTTATGAGGATAGTGAGGCTCAGGTTAGGGTGTGTAGAAAAGAGGGAGAATACTTCCCGGTAAAAGTAGGTCTTAGACAGGGATGTGTAATGTCACCATGGTTGTTTAATATATTTATAGATGGGGTTGTAAAAGAAGTAAATGCTAGGGTGTTCGGGAGAGGGGTGGGATTAAATTATGGGGAATCAAATTCAAAATGGGAATTGACACAGTTACTTTTTGCTGATGATACTGTGCTTATGGGAGATTCTAAAGAAAAATTGCAAAGGTTAGTGGA